GAATATCAACTCGATTATGAAATTTACACAATGAACTTTTAATTAATATTCATTGTTTATTCCGTTAATACCGTTACAATTGGTCATTTTTTTCAACCAATCATCCCATTTTTTATCCAATTCTTCATGATTGGTAATGATAATTACTTGACTCACATAGTCGGGGCCGATAATTTTATTTGACTCGTGTATAAATAGACTGGTTGATGGTTTCAATTTTGATGCCGTTCATTTGGATTCTTGACAGGAGGAGGGTCTGAGAGGCAAAATTTTGAAAAGGAAGTTTGTAAAAGAAGAAGAGTATGTATGTATATGATACAGATTAAAATTAGTTCAACTAGTCAAGATGGCCGAGCGGTCTAAGGCGCCAGTTTCAGGTACTGGTCCGAAAGGGCGTGGGTTCAAATCCCACTCTTGACAATAAATTTTGTATTTTTTAAACATGTTTTTTCATTATTATTTTTCGGCCAAATCTTTTTATTTTTCTCTTTATTTGGTCCCTCATCTTTACATTTAGTTTCACTTTAGTCCCTCATGTTTTAGTTATCTCATTTTCATCCATCATCTCTATAATCCATCTCATTATCATCCCTTATTGTATAAACATGTTAACTTTAACGGAATCTTTTTTAAAACGGATGGAATATTCCATTGTTAGAACTATTTTTGAAAAAATGTGACTTTTTTCAATAAATAATAAAGCCTGTAATTTAAAATTAATATTTGCACCTAACAAAAATATAACTTAAAAAAGTACTATTTTTACGAAATATTAATTTATATTAATGAAAAATGAATCATTTATTTTGTGAATATATGACTTGAATTTAGAAACATATTTAAATAATTATAATATCTCATCTACATATATTCTCTATCAAATAATTATTTATATTTTTTTGATCTTATGTATATATTTAAAGAACTAATTCAATTATATATGTTTTTCTAGTTTTTTTTTTAATTTATTTACAGTTCATTACAAATAATTATAAGAACATAATATTTCATTCAATAAATAAAAGATTCCTTTAAAGTTAACTAAATTATACACCGAAGGACTATATTGAGATAGATTGTAGAGTGGCGGATGATAACGAGACAATTGGAACATGAGGGACTAAAGTGGGACTAAACACTAAGATGAGAGATTATTTGCGAGATTTGTCCTTATTTTTACTTATATCGAATATTATCACTCTTGACAAAAATATATTTTTTTTTTTTTGACATATTTTTTTTCTATTTATTACTATTATTTTTACTTATACGAATAGACTGATGCAGGTCAAATGAAAAGGAAACAAATAGTTTGTGATTAATAATTAAAATCTTTTATCTAATAAATCAATTACTATAAGCTTGTGAAAATAAAATGTAAGAAAATAGTTTTATTATGTTTCATAAAATCTTATTCATATTTTGCATGATTTACATCATTTAAATGGTTCCATCTTTTAATATTTCGAGTTCTTAAGTTTTCTTATTTTATTGAGGAAAGACTGTAGTAAGTTTTGATGTATGGAATGAAAAAGAAAGAAACATTAGTTAATATTTAAAAACAAATAGATCTAACTAGTCAATTAATTTAAGATGAAAGACAAGACGTCAAACGTTAATTGATCGCCGGTGGGTAGCAATTTAACCGCCATTAGTGCGACTATGCAATAGAACAAAGTTTTTTTCTTTTTCATTTTCAAAGAACGAGAACGAAGTTGGGAAATAGACATGAAGACATGTTAGACATGAATGGGGCTTTGAGAAGTGAGACATCTTTAAATAAGTGGGCTTAAGTGGAGTAAAAATAAGTGAATAAAATAATATAATTGGGTGGAGTAATTTTTTTTTTTTTAAGTATTATATATATATATATATATATATATATATATATATATATATATATA